GTCCGACCGTAAACACGCTTGTCCGCGATGAATCCGATCGATCGGACCATCTGACATTTGCCACTTCAATTGTGGCATAGCCTCCTGCCCAGGCTCTTTACTTTCAGCAACCTATATTTGAAAATAACATCATTTCACCATCGGTAAAATCTTTGTCCGACCGTAACCAGCTTGTCCGATGGATCCGATCGATCGCGATAAACGTAGCATAGCCTCCTGCTCAGGCTCTTTCCTTGCAACTCTGGCGTTCAAATTACATCATTTCACCATCGGTAAAATTTTTGTCCGTAAACGTCGTTTTGTCGGTGCTTGTCGATCGATCGGACCATCTGACATTTGCCACTTACATTGTGGCATAGCCTCTTGCCCAGGCTCTTTACTTTGCAACCCTGGCATTCAAATGACGTCATTTCACCATCGGTAAAAGTTTTGTGCATGTCCTTCCAACATAAACACAAAAAATATTTCGAAAATATAACGGTCCGACCTATATGTCATGCCTGACTGTTGTAATAGTCCTTATATTATAAATTAATATCACGTTATGCTATATATTTGTTTACGTATATTTGTCCATCGGACAAACTATTCTCTGACGCGTCGGCCGAGAATATCACATGTTTGTCCATCGGATCAATCGGACTCCGATCGCGGATATTGGACATCAATCCAAAGAAAAAGCAGTTCTTTGGAGAAGTAACTTATGAGGGGTCGCATACTTCAATTTATCCGAACTGATTGGCTGCGATTTTCCGATTGAATATTCGGGCTGTATGATATATCTGCATCATACTTCATGAAGTATCAAGTATGTTAGCAGATGGTATAGATGGATGAGTTAGGCCCTCTCAAATTCAGTTATTTATCGAAGTTGGCAATTTGGCACACTGAGACGCTGACTGGTGTCATGATTATTTTTATAATTTATAATATAAATAATACCTTATTCTGTTATTCAGTTGTAGTGCATTTCAACATTTCGAAATTCGAATCATTCCATCCCGAACAACACGCGCCAGTGTATTATATATGTGTAATGTGTTATTGTATATTTGTAGACAATTCAGCTTCTGATAGTACAGACATTTCCATAAAATGCGACACAAAAACATGAAACAATTTACAACACTACATTTACCTCGCAGAAATTATTCAATAGTCTCTTGATGAATGATCGCCATGGAACAACAGCACAGGCCCTCAATTGCAATGGTCGATGTTTGCCTTGAAAAGCCAAAACCAAAAGACTGCCGAAATACAATTAGATCAAATTTTGGAATGGCTGATGTTTATTGGTTATTATTGTGCTTTGTTGGAAATGAACTTTCACCATCCCACATTGATCACACATAACGGCTAAAATTTGCGGCCCCGCTGGCATGTGTAAATTTGAGACGCACATAAAATTGCGGATTTCCTGTGTCTCAAGACATTTCTCGTGCGCGCTAATTTGTCTCATGCAGGGCGCGCTTGAAAAATAGCACAATTTTAATTTCATGTGCGCACGCACTTGAAAAATTGCACATTTTCAATTTCACCTGCGCCTCATTTTGAAATTGCGCGTTTGACAACAGATTTTTGAAATTTGCGCGTCTGGACGCGCATTTTGCAAAAAAGTACGCAACCGAGATCTCGGTTGCGCAGTACAAAGTTTCCAGTCTGGGTCCTTTATTCATTGTTTTTCTATAATTCATATTTTTGGTAAGCTGTTCTTCTTTCTTTGATTCATCTAACTTTTCATATTTTGTTTTTCTGTTTTCCAATATTTTTTGTTTTTTCTCCTGAGCCATTGTTTTGTACTTCATCTGCTTTGTTTCTAGCTTCTGTTTCTTTAGAGCTGGTTCAATGAAGTCATTTATATAGTTTTGTCTGTGGTTTTTCATAATCCTTTTTCTTTCACAGTTACTCAATTCAGAAGAACAAGACAAAAATTGAATTTCATAATTGACAATTTCATCCTTGATTTTGGTTGTTACTAGTTTAAAGATAGTATCAACTAAAGTGTGCTTGTCTTTTATGTTTTTAATGTAATGTGCAGTACATGTAGGTGAGCTATCATCATCATCATATGCTAATATTGAGTACGACATATTGTTAATGGATGTCTTTTGAAAGATGCAAGAAATACAATAATCTCCAAACCAAATTAAAAACCCTGTATTTTCATTAGTATGACAAATAAGGCTTTCAATGTGTAGTTTGCTTTTTGCCTTGTCATCAACTACTCCTTGAATATTAGTTTGCAATTTTACATGTATTTCATTTCCACATATTTCCACTCTTTGTGGTATATCATGAGATGTATTTATCCCAGTGTTGTTATACAAAGTAGTGCCAAAGTAAACAACTGCGGCCACTGTATTTGAATCCCAGTAATTACAAGGTTTAATGACAGAATAACAAATTGAGTATGAAATTGCACAGCATTGTTTATATAAATAAGAAACGTCAGTACTTTCAGATTCTTCCAAAGCATTACCTGATAGATCAGAATTTCTAATAATGTTGTTTAAGTTCTTGTCACCATTGGCTTGTACTTCTTCAATATTTATTCCTCTTAGCTCAAATTGACTGTTTTGACCATATAAAGACTGGAAATACAGAATTACATTGTTGATATTTGGTGCCTCTAACAGCACACATGTACCTTGTGGATGACTTCTACCATAAATATCTCTTGAATAAGAGTAAAAAATTTTATATTTGCCATCATTGGTGGAAAATATGCAAACAGCATTGGAGTCAATTGTTAAAATGAATGCAGAATAGTTTTCAGCCAGGAGCAATTCAAATGATCTGTGAAATGGAACACAGAACTGATACCCTTCAATAGAACAGTCTCCAATTACATTACCACTATAGCTCTCACTGTACTCAAAAATATAATCTGTGTAAAATACTGTAAGTTGTGAAGGCAATTCTGTAAACAATAAAAACGATTGCCGTACTAAACATGATAAGTTTGAATATAGTTCATTACCGATATTCATTATATTAACCAGGTCTTGTGGTGAGCATCGTGTTCTGTCTTTTGTTGCATATAAGGGCACATAAACACATTGCTAAACACTGCTGTCCTGCTGTTTGTCCAAATATAACCTGATTACCTTGGCTATATGGTGCACTGATTGTCTTACTGGGATCAATATAGAATACAGGTCCAGGATTCGTCTCAAAATCTGTACATAATGCTGACTGACAGACATTCTTTAAGTGGTTGACATTTTTGTATACCTGTTGTGCATATAAATCATGAGTTGAACCTGATAAATAGAATATATCTGCAAGAATTCCTTCACAAATATAAAATTTTAAATTTTTTGCTGAATGATTTGTGCGGCATTTCTTGTGAACCTTCTTTGGGCAGTAAACATCAGGGATACACTTCATCCTAATGTCTTGGCAATGCATAATATACTATACTATATAATGAAGATGAGAGGATCTGGGTACAGACCTTTTGATCTTATGTCTGAGACGTTTTCTCAACAATCAACTTTTTCCAAACTTCCTAATTAACCATTTTACCTGTATTCTACTGGGGTCACGGTGATGTAAATGGCAACCAGTGGTAGTAGCGTCAGTAACATGCTCTTGTATGCAGACATTATAAAATAATGCATATCGTGATCGCACTGGAAGTTTCTTTATACGCATTGGATTGATCTTTGACAGACCTGTTATTTCAGTATTCTGGTTATGCAATTTAGAAATACAGTTGTTAGATATATTTATACCTGACATACATTGATCTATGCCTGTGAACACATTCTTGTTTTCCATATCATCTTCGCTCAAAATTGTTGACAAATTCTTGGTTGACCATATCTGTTCAGACGATATTGCATTGTCCATGTTCTTTGTAGCCTTTCTACTGGCGACCATGTTGACCATGTGCTCGTTGACAGTATAGCAACTCGATTGTGAGTTTACGTTTGTTTTTTGTATATTTGTCTGTGTATTTATATTCGTCATTTCAGTGGTACTTTTGATTTCAGTGGTACTTTTGATTTCAGTGGTACTTTTGATTTCAGTGGTACTTTTGATTTCAGTGGTACTTTTGATTTCAGTGGTACTTTTGATTTCAGTGGTACTTTTAATTTCAGTGGTACTTTTAATTTCAGTAATACTTTTGTCACATTTTTGGCAACTTTTTGTGTAACATAATTTTTGGCAATCTCTGGAATTTATTGTGGATTCGTGGATAATCGACCCGGTTCGAAATCGCTCAGCATCTTTTAGTGTAGGTCTACCATGAATAGGTGCAGAGTCATGCGAGGTGAGCGTATTTGAAATTAAATCCATTCACTTACCGTAAACATCGTCAAAAAATCACTTTGTTCCCAAAAACCAAAATATAAAACAGCGAAGTATATAAAACTTTCGATTTGCGAAGGTTGCTGTTTCCATGTCAATTTTGGTAAAATTCCTTGTAAAATTGTTCAATTTTCCCGAATTTTCCTCAAAACGCAGGGTTATTTATGGATAATTTGGGTAAAAATTGGCAGGAGCCTTATGGATAATTTGGGTGAAAATTAGGTAGCTCATTAATATTCTATTTTGTGGCTATCGACGATTGGAGATTGCCAATCCAAGAACAGAGCCGAAACCTATACTCGTCTGGGGCACAGGGTGCCCCAGCGAGTAATTAATCGTTGAAGGCAACTACAAGCCGATATTCACTGAGCTGAAACAAACTGAATAAATAATTTACTTCTGTTTGATTTTCAGCCATTTTTTGAGAAAAGCAACAGTTACTGCTCAGGGTAGTAACTATTACCTCAGAACAGTGGGATGTTAAAATAGTGAAAGTGGAAAAGGGATATGAGTATATTCCACTACTCATGTCAAGAATCTTGAGGAGAGAAATTGATGTTGAAAGTGTTGCAAGACATGTATCCCTAAATGAAAGTGACCCAGGTCTCATTCCCCCTTCCATAGCACATATTCCACCAGTTCCCACCAAAGAAATTGTTCAACGAAAGAGCAGATTTTGTAAAGATTGCTAATTGATATTGTACATATTTCGTTAAATAAATAATAAATAATGCAACATTGAAATACAATAATTGAAAGAACAATGTGGGTGGGAGAATAGAACAGAAAAGCTGTTTAGTTGTCAATGTTTAACAATGGGGCATTACAAAACAAGATCCTCACTCTCAATGCTTATTAAACTCTCAAATATATCATTTGAAAAACGAATTGCAAGGTACCGTATCCAAAATTCAGCAGAAAAACTTTACAAAAAAAAATGCATAAGGCAAAAATTACCTTCCCTATCCCATCACTTTTGAATGTTTAATATTGAATACCCCAGTAAAATATGTTAATCAAACTAGTGTAATAGTGGCATCGTGCATTGAAATACAAGTTTTGGTGCAGAGGTTTCAGCCCTAATTGCTCTAACTAAACTTAAAACATAATACCAAAAGTAGTGTCAGTGTTCTCTAAATCCCATATATGCACCTGTGACTGATGTATATCATGCTCTTATTTTCAGCACCACACAAGAGGGACACACTTGCCTGTTTCCTTTGCCTAAATAGCCATATCGTGCCAGTATAAATTGCCTGTATGCTGCTTTCCTGAAAGCTCTGGTGCTGGTATCTTCCCTGTCATTTCTGATGACTCCAGTATTGCAAATGCACAGCTCCAGTACATCAGGGTCCAGACACAGCTTGGCAAATCTTGATGACAGGGTGATACACTTCTTTTGACAACAGCATTTGTTTTCTACCTCTTGGGGCATAGGTCTACATTTCCCGCATTTACACCACTCTGGCAATTCTGCTGGTGAAGTATCATCTTGAGATGGATCCTGATTCTGTGTCATACTGCTAGAGCCTTGTATATCTTAAATTGCATTTGATGGACATTGCTTGGACATTCTGATGATGATTCTCCAAACTCACCCACCCTTTCACTTCTATCAGCTTCATCAAGATCATCTTCTATTATTAATAATGTATCTATGTAGTCTATGCTTCCAATTCCACAACGAAGACTACGGATGGCTAGTTTTTTTCTCCATATTTTCATCTAGCATGAATATAAATCTCTAAAATAAACAAGGACTTTATTACTATTATTAAGCCGGAAACCTTGCTTGGCTTGCCTGTTCTTGCCATGTGCTATTTGTGTGTCAGTAGATTGTATGGCAGCGACTGTGCCTTCCGCTATCGCTATAAAAGATATTCCCTTTTCCATATTTACCTTATTTTTGCATGGTTTATTATGTGTACCACACCGACAATTCTCATTACACTTCATATTTTTACCCTTACAAGGGCATACTCGGGTGCCATTTCTTTTGCCCTTTCTTCTCATGTTGCAAGAACTGCAAGAACTCGTGCATTTACAATAGAAATCATAAGTTAATCAAGGTCAACGAGGTGACAGAGGCAATATATATTAAAATGCAAATATATGTAAAAAATATAAATATATCTAAACTTACCATGCTCATCCGTTCATCAACGCTCCTAAAACAATGATGGCGATTATTGAAGCAGAGCAATTTCCGACAATTTCCGAAGCTTCTTTTGTTATGCACAAAAAAGATGTGCAAATGGTGACACTGCTCCTTTAAATATTGTACAGAAGAAACTTGAAGAAACTGATTCATGGAAGTCACATACAGCACTGCAAGAAGAACAAGTTGTCAAACTATTAAAATTCCTACTTAGTAATTGTTACTTTAAATTCAATGAGACACACTATCATCAAAAGTCGGGATGCAGCATGGGATCACCTGTCCCAGTATGCTGGTGGCGAAGGTATGTTGATGACTCCAATTCATGTCTATGCAAAAATGACATTGAACAATTCCACACCCACCTGAACACTATCAACAAAAACATTCAGTTTACAATTGAATTACCATCAGAATAAAATTGCGGTGAAGCAATTTCTTTCCTTGATACCCACATTACAATTCTTAAAAACTGTACCATTGAAGTAAGTGTACACCGTAAGGATACACATACCAATAAATATCTATCATTTCACTCTCACAATCCCACCAAAATTAAGAGAGCTGTCGTTAAGACCTTAAAGAGTTAAAGCTCAACAGATATCCAGAGAAATTCATCTTCCAGACAAGTTCCAGTAGATGGTTTTCCAACACTTAATGACGAACCGGAAATTAAAGGGTTATCTTGTATTCCATACATGAAATGCATATCAGAACAGGTAAAACAACTGCTTAAAAGTGCTGGTGTTAAGACAATATATAAACCCATGCCAACCTTAGGAGACATTTTGGTAAACCAAAAGACAAGCAGAAGATCACAGAGGTTAAAGGCATTGTTTATAAATTCGAATGTCCAGATTGTTCATTTAAATATGTTGGAGAAAGCAAGAGATCATGGAAATCATGTTGGGCAGAACACAAACCAGGTGTAAGACCAGAAATTAAGTCAGCTATTAAAGACCACACAGAAAGCACAGGACACAATGCCTCGATTAACAATGCTATAATCTTGGAGAAAAGAGTACATAATTTAGAAAAACGAACATTCATCGAGTTAATGCATTCAATATTAGACAATAAAACAATTAATGAACACATATAGTTCCCACGCATGTTTTTATCCCTTTTGCAATCGTGTGGCAATAATAACGATATTTAAATCCTCAAACTATCTGAACTGCTCTTAGTACTCTGATGAAAGTTGCAGTTAGCAACCAAAAATTTAGAACTTTTTAGACTTTTTATTGTACACATTCTAGTATTTTAAAAACAATTTTAGACCAGCTTCAACTCCAAAACTATCATGTATTCCACTGGTCGCCTCAACAATATATATATATATATTCCGCTTCATGGCTACCATCTTTGGGGGTTTGCATTTGCTTTTGGCTTGAGTTTCTACAGGTAATTCAATTTCTTCCTGCTGAAGCTGATCTGCTAACTTGAAGTCTTCTGTTTCCTGAGTAGATAATACAACAAAGCTACTTGATTACTTTCACCAGAAATGTTATAATCTGTTGAAGTAGCATCAGAACTTGGACAATGTTTTTTCTGCCTTTTAGTTTTTTCTGTTGTTTGCATTGGAAAATTGATGCCAAACTCATTAGACAGCAGGCAGTTTTCATTCTGTGATCTGTTAATCTGCCAGTTAAATTTAGTACTAGAAGAAGCCGTACTTGTGCTCAAGGAAGAATCCTTGACTATCCGGTGAAGGTGTCATTTTTCTTGAAGGGAGTTGTCTGTGCAAGTTTTTCTGAAGTATAGCTGTATCTCTATTCAACAGTTGCCAATTTCAACGGCCAAACAAAATATATCTTTCTGGCAATTATTTTACAATAACATCCTCAATCTGCTTTGGAACTGATGTGTGCACTTTGTCACACATTCAGCATTTTGAAACTGATTCTAGTTGGGCAGTTTCTCTTTCCAAGGTTGTTATCACAATCTTTTTGCTGCCATGTTTCGAGAGAGAGCCACACGAATAAGTGGATTTACACAGACTGTAGTCACACTTTTTCTTGGTATGACCAAGTTTGAGGTGACAATTTCCATAGCAGCTCTACGATTTTTAGCTTGTTGTAACATGTTGCAAGCTCCTGCGTTTTTACTTGCAACGTGCATTGAATATCCTCCACGGTTTGCTGTTGTTTTTCAGCATATCTCTCCAAAGGAAGTAATATATGTGAGTCTTATTTCACGAGCACGACAACTTATTTCCAGACACCCTATTCTTAACCATCTTATGATTCACTGATGATCTGGTCCGCACTGATTGCCTGATGGGCATTGGTCACTTGGTGGGCATTGGTCACCTGGTCTGGTGCACGTGGTGCGCATTGGTCGTCTGGTGGGCATTGGTCAACTGGTAGGCATTGGTCAACTGGTAGGCATTGGTCAACTGATGAGCACTGGTTGTCTGGTGGGCACTGATCAATTGATCCTGGCAGATTGTGTTGCATCAAAATTTGTTTCTGATGTTTTTAATTTCAAAATTTTCTTTGGTTATTGTATCCCTTGCATCAGTTAACTGAATATCATGTTTTTCACCTAAAGTATCCATCTTATCCAAAGTAACTAAGATGGTGGACATCGACGAGATGGCAACCGACGAAATGTGATAAAATCGTCATCGAGATAGTATATGATGGTGAAAATGTTTTACAAACCAGAGGATGCCATTAAAGCCAAAAATATCAATCCTTTCCTTTGTAAAATAGCAAACAAAGAAAAAACAAACCTGAAATGAAATAAAACAAAATCATCATTGATTCACCACAGGAAAAGACATTTTCCATGATAAAAAATCATCGTTATTTACAAAGAAAACATCAATGGCACCATAAAAGTTCTTAAACAATCGAGAGAAAAGATGAAGAAATATCATAATTAAAAAAATAAATATTATCACTCAAATCTTCAGACAAAGATAAACAAACTATTAGTGACTTGACTGTGAAGCAACTAAAAATAGAAGATGAAATAAGCTCAATAAAGAGCATAAAAAATTTCAAGACAAGAACACAAACTTAATAAAACCAGTAGTACTGAAAAAACAATATGAACTTGAAACAAGCATAAATGGGCATCCATGTTGTCTTTACCCACCACATATATGGTCCAAACATCTAACAGCTTTGAGCTACTACATGGTACTGATAGTGACCATGATCAAGATCAAGCTGATGACCACTAAGACGGCTAAGATGACTAAACCCAATACCACAGAATTGCAATATAGCCCAACCAGAAATAAAGAAGATCCTGAATCAACAAAAAATTAAAATGATACCCCAAACCACCACAAGTCCATCAACGCTGAAACCATAATTCTTTGCAATAGCAATCGACTCTTCTAAAACCTGAACTGCTCAGTCCTAAGTTAGCAACACACTATACTCTGTAATATTTAATCTTTCTGTAATATTTAATCTTTCTGTAATATATTACGGAAATCAAGTAACACGGATCAATATGAGTTAATATCCTGCCTTCCTCCCACGCTTTATAATCATATTTCATGTTTTAATTCAACACCACATGATATGTCATGCACATGGCAACCAAAGTGTCTAGTCCACACCAATAAGAGGGTGCAATATTTTGGCGCATGGATCTAAAAGATGGTTGATAATTTACATGGATCTAAAAGATGGTTGATAATTGTGCTCTATCTCACTTGAAGCAGATTCTCTGCTTTGCATCTGGGCTATCCTCAAAAGGTCAAAGGTCTACTATGTTACACAAACTGTATCAAGATTCAGTACAATTGTAGAAGGTAAGCTCAATTATGCTTTGTAAACACGTATTCGTATTTACCCATACACTAAGCTCTAAGTTGGCATGTTAAGAATTGTAGAACCATTTTGTTCTGTTGTCTAACTTTGTCCAGCTTTTATGTTGGTCTTCCTATTATTGGCTCTATCAAAGTTCATGGTAATTGCAGTTCCTATTCAAATTTAACTAGAAAATACATGCATGCAGAAACCCTTGCCTTGTTGACAAAACCATTGTATTTTCCCCAAAATGAAGTATCTAAAGTAGTTGTCATGGTAACACGATAATTTTTTAAGAATATTCTACAAATGCAAAATCGCCTAAAAATATCACTTTTAATTACAAAATTATTAATTTTCCAACATATATATGTTAGGTATGTTATTATATGATAATATAAGCCTCAGTTTAAGGTAAAATTCAACCACAAACGCTTCACAAAACGTTTTAAAGTCACTAGTGTTCTTTATATAACTAAACTGCCTTTTAAAATGGCTTTATCGATCTACTTTGAGTCTGCAATAAAATGATTTCAAATTCTCGCTTGCAAATAACTTTGCTTTCTTTTTTATTTAAAAAATTCAACATCATAAAAAAGGGAATCAATATTAAAGATACACTGAAATTATATGCTGTCTTGTTTAGTTGTTTCATTTACGCAAAGGCCGTCAGGTTTTAAAGCCGTTATAAAATCAATATTTAAAACAAACTTACCTTCGGTAACGTCGGCTCCCTTCTTTTAGCCTATTCTTTCGCCCTTTCTTTTTTGAAATTTACAAAATCTTGCAAAAAT